GGCTTGCCCTGGCGCACCCTGCGTCCTCCTCCACATGCTCCTGTGGCTCCCGGGCGCCCGGGTCGCTGTCTCTCAAGAGCCCCACCTCAATGGGCTCAGTCACCCGGACAATCGGCAGCTTTCAGCCTTATGTCCTCTCCTCCTCCAGTAAAAGGACTGCTTCAAAAAGCATCTTTTGAAATGAGGATCCAAGTAGATAGAGAGGGACAGGAGTCCAGTCACACTTGTTCCAATGATAGACAAGTCTTTCAGCTTTGTCTTCTGCACACTGCAAGCCAAAAGGGCTGCTGTGGGTGTGAGCCCTCCATCCTCTGACTGCTCATGAGAACTGAGTGGCAGAGAAGGGTGCTTGTTGGTTTCCTTGAGGGGCCACCCTGTAGGTGACAGGTGCCGGCTTGTCCTTACTGCTGCACACACGCAAAGCTAAGGCTGACTTTCAGATCCTTGGTAGTCGGGAAGTTTGGTAAAATTACACTAGAGTAACTTCTGGTGTCCCTGTCATTTTTTACAAGAGTTTTCAGATGTAATAGCAAACTACATATTTTCAGAAGAAAATGATAACAGTTTTGCCAATTAGCTGAATATCAGATTCTAAAAAGGAAAAAAACCACCAAAAACAGGAAAAATTTAATGTGTCAAGCAATTGTCCAGTTATAATTAGTTGTTGAGATTTTTAAATATCATTTCACAAAACTTTATATCAAGAATCTTACATGCTGCCAGAGTTAACTCATCTCCTCACTCAAAGTAGACAAGTAATATGTGTGGGCCAAGTAAATAACAAAAGGTACAGAACAAATGACAACCAGTGTCCAATCATTTGCTACCAGTGGTCATTTCAGCAATATGAATTGGGCATAGACTGGGCAGAGAAAAATGTGTCTCATTCAATATATAGCTGACCCAGGGGTTTGGCTTAATCTAGACCAGTGGTTTTCAAATTGGCTCCACGTTGAAATCCGCCAGAAAAGCTTTAAAAACAATGCCTGGGTCTCAACCCCAGATATTCTGATTTATTTGGGGCCATGGAATGTTTTGAAGCTCCCAGGCAATTATACTGTGTAGCCATTCGTGAGAACCTCTGGTCTATCATTGCCAAGGACTCCAGATAGATGAAGATGGTTCTACTACTTGCCAGAAGCTCTGATTCAGAATTCAGATACAAGCTCAATTTAAAGATTTCAAATCACCGGTATCTTGGAATTTCTCCCTTTGGGATAAAACAACAACAGCAACAAACAATGCATGTGCACCCCCTGCCCCATACACACACACAAAAATGAAGACTAATTTAAAGTCTGCTCACCAGTTGGACAACAGAGCCATTCTTCACAGTGTCAGTATGAGTGGTTAGCTTGTACGGTGCACTATCACCAAACACCTATCAAATCACTACATATTCTTAAAACACATTTCTGACTCATTCTTTACATGGCGATTTCACAAAGCTCAGTCTTCTAGGATTTGAGCTGTTGTGAATGGAATCATCTCTTCCTAAATGAAATGACAGTTTAAACCCATATGGCATAGAATTTATTCCATTAATTCAACCCCACAATTTATTTCCTATAGCAAAAAAACAAGTCAATTCCTTAGTTTGTGCTTCGCATTTTTGCATATAACTTTTGCTTAGTAAATGTAGACAGTTACATTCACAGGGTACCGAGACGTCCTACAATATAGGCAGCACAATCTGGGTGTTTCAAACAAGACATCGTATTTTTAGCTTCAGTCAGGACCCATTTAGGCAGGAGTTGCCTAAGTTCCCTGAATGATTGGCTCTTTGCTGGTGGCTATGAGCAGTGGGGCTGGCAGAAGTTTAAGGAAATCAACCAAGTCCAGCTGCTTGCCACAAAATGGTCAGTCCTTTACCATGTGACAGAAATCACTGTCAATTCTTAATTGACAATTAGCAGAAAAAGAAACCCAGATTCTCTTACAGCCAGCACTAGCTTTTAGAAACTCTTGTAATCAGGAATTCCTCTTTATGTCTGATGTAATATCCTCATATTGGCCATTAATTAATATCACGGGGGGACTGCCACTATCATTTGCCTTGTTTTCATTTCAAATATATGAAAGATAGGTTTAGTATACATTATTAATTCTGTGATCTGAGTATTGCAATCAATACTTTGGTCTGTTAAAACAGCTTTCTTCCCTCTCTTAGGATTTTAAAACTGAAAGCATAGAGAAGAAGTAATATGCATAATAATTTGTGAAAATTCCTATTTGCATTATTTATGCAAAACGATTGTTAACAAACACAGAATATTGCCGTGAACATACTGTCTATTCATATATCAGGAAGCCTGAAAAAATTACATGAAATTGTTGTGGAAATATTTCCACTTCAGAAGTCTCTGAGGGGCATACTACAGAAATCAATGGTATAGTCAACTCATGAATGTGTTGGCATCTGCCCATCACACCAACAGCAGCCTCTTCTAACACTTTTAATCCGTGACTTGTGACAGGAGTCCCACGGAGACCGAGATAAAGGCCAGTTATAGTAGAACCTACTTAGGGTGATACGGATGTGGTCTCATTGCTCACTATACAGTATACACTCAAATATCTATGTGATGGATTCCTATCTTATTGATATCACTAGGGCCAAGTAGTACTAAGGGAATTCAAAATACTGCACTTTAAAATACGTCATATTATGTAACTCTACATCTGTAGAATAATGGATTTTGAAGTTTATTTCAAGCCCCAGAAGCCCTGGAGCTCTTCTAGGAAAGCAGGGTCAAAGGCAGTTCTGCAGAATTCCTAGAGGCCTATAGAACATGGCACCGTCATAACCTGGTTTGTACAATTTTATTGCATGATGAAACGTCTCAATGTCAGAGAAGATAAATTTTCATTCAATATCCCAATGAATGGTTGTAAATTACAAAAGCGGGACTCAAGTCACTCTAATAAGGAAGATATTCTTTTGGCAGTTAAATTGAAGTAGAAACAAGAACATCAAAATTTTCAAGTATTCTGAGCCCATTTCTTTCACCTATGTTTATATCTTTTTAATACCAACATTTTTACTAAAATAATATTTGAAAATGATATATGATTCTTTCAAATACTTTAAAATATATTTTAGAGCAAATGGGCAATGTATATCATGGTGTATGCCCTTCAACTCAGTAATGTTCTTTCTATGAATGAATTTTAAGAAAGTCATCCATGATCAGATTAAATAACATATACAAGAATGACAAATGACACAATTTAAAATGATAAAAAGAAAATACTGGAATCATCCTAAATGTCTCATAATAAGGAAATAGAACACCTAAAAGAGATAAAAACTAAGTTTTTGAGAAAAGTTTCCAAATCTTGCAACATGATATATTGTTAGGTGAAAAAAGAAAGCTAAAAAGATGTATATATAACTTGATTTCAACTTTATTTTAAAATTGTTTAGGAAAAAAGCTACAAGAAAACCTGTTCTTGTTGTGTGTTTCCACATTTATTAATAAGGACCTGTGTTACCTTTGTAGTCAGGAAAAATTCAATTAATTTTAATATAAAAACTGGAAGGAAGTGTATCAAAATGTTAATAGTGATATTCTTTCATTGATGGGATTATAGGTGATGAATTTTTAAATACTTTCCCCCATTTTTTTCTTTTATAGACAGTATGTTTAAACTTTCATAATAAGAAAAATACACTGCTGGGTGAGTAATGCACTTGTCGCTGCATCTTTATTCTTTGCTCATTAGGTACCACAGGCAGTGAGTTATCAGAACACATTTCAGAATGTATTTATTGAATTCTGATGTGCAAAACACTAATGCTTCATTTTAAGAGACTGTTGATTATTTGCTGTGAATTCTAATGAAAAATTTTATTGGGAGAAAGTTGAAACTACTGAGTTAAACAGATTTTCCAAATGATCTGTCTTGATGCCAAAGTCTTTTTCCTTAAAGGGCCATTAGTACCATACCGTACTTCTCTTATGCAGCATGTCTTGGTGATGCTGTCAAAACATGAGCTTGAGGTTGGGTGGTCCCAACAATAAGGCACTCCCTGTATTCTAATTGAGTCATGCTAATTATTTTACATGGTAGGCACTGAATAGACAGATATCAGGAAAATATATATACTTTTTCCGACTTGTTTCTTCCAGTTTTGACGTTCTTACCTTTGAATAGAACTCAACAAAGCAAGAAGGAGTTTATTTTCACATGAGTAGAAGAGTATAAATCCTCCTTTGATTTTATTGTCCAGTCAAGAAATGAAAAAGATAACCAGTTCTTCCCAAATCATACAGATATTTTTTTCATTCTAAAATAGTCATGAGCTGTTAAATGTATCTTAATTTTAGAATGCTACATTTGCTGTACAGCTTAGTACTGCTAATATTGTACTGTGTTACCCTCTTGTGAAACAAACTTGACAATAATTTTATTTGTATACCTACTAGATTACTTAACATGAGAATTCAAATAGGAGAAGTGAAGAAGAAGGCAATAGATGTGCTTATATATTATAAAGATGGCTAATTATAGATAAAAATATTTGACTTACCTGCAAAAACATTGTACAAGGAAAGCACAGTAAAAGTAGCATTTTTTTATGACACAGACTCAAAATACAGATGCAGTAAAAGAAATGTGCAATTGCCAAAATAACCAAAAGACCTCTTTGTTTCTACTAGCAAATGCTGATGTACAATTCTAAGTATTATGCCTGTTAAACGATATTTAAACAAATACTTTATAAAACCAAGAATTATTTTAAATGTGCAAATTACATAGGGAAAGCATGTCAAAATATCAATCTGATTGTACTGGTTAATAGTCACCAAATAACATTAAAAATTTAATGTTATTGTCCCGATTCAGTTGCCATAATTATTGTTCCCTTATGTTGTCTCCTTACTTTCTCCTTAAATATTCCTTCTTTTATTACAAAGAAATACCTTCAGTGAGGATAACACTAAAATAAAATTAACATAGCCAGAACAAAGATAAATAAAATTTAAAAAGCCAACCTTTATTCCACTTTGAACAAGTTTGTGAATGTCCAAATAAGGCTCCTTGAAAATTTCTCCTTCAGGGGTAAGTATCTTCACGTAACCTTCTTTTTCCAGAATGAAGAGACGGTGCGAGCCATCCCCACTATGCAGGGCGCTGACAGGCTGGCGCAGCCCACTCACAACCTCCTGAATACAGAAGCAGTTGTGTTTGTGCTTTCTAAACAAATTAAAGAAAACCAGTAAGCTTTTCTTGAGATGAAGGAGGTAAGGGATGCACTTAGCATCCTTTTCAAAATATATTTCCTCTAGGCATCAATGTTTTTGATACTCATTAAGGGCTGCTAACCCAAGGTCACAATATGATTCTTTTACATTCTTTTCAATGGAAAAAAACAAAACAGCCTTCTATCAGAAAGTAAAGGAGAGAATAAAAACATGTAGGTATTTTAAAATTTCCTAAGCTCATTATCTCATCTTTCAATGACTATAATTAAATTAGCTTTACTCACAATAATTAAACCTTACAGAAAGGCATTCACAGAGAAAGTTCTAAGATCTATTTAAGAAACCCTGATTTGCTAATAATAATTGTGCTGAATATTTCCACAGTGCCATAAGTTAATAACAATCATAAAATTAAAGTTTAAAACTATATTCATAAAATTCACATGAATCATAGAGAAGCCAAGCTCACAATAGAAGATTACAAGTCTAAGCATTAAAAGTATTTAAACTAATATGATTTTAGAGTAGCAAACTACCAAAAAGAAAAAAAACCCAAAAACATCTGGAGGATACAGCTGCTGGATATAAGCACAGACAGTTGACTGACTGTCAAAACCACAAGATTTGTCATTTTTTTTTTAAGATTAAAGAGTATTTATCTTTATGAACCTGCTGATCTCTTCCACTTTGTCATATTCTTCCATCTGGTCCAAGTAGTTAGATGCTGGTCCTCTGATCTGTTTTCTTGGAAAATCCGGAAAGCACAACCCACCATCTTTCCTTGCATAGTAAAAGCAAAACTCATCAGCAGCAGTTTGAAGGAACCCTTTAAAAAAATATAAAAAGACTCATTAGAATATTTAGTGTCATAGTAAAAATACCCTATTTGAAAGATTAAACATCGGAAAAAGAATTTTTAGAAACTATATGAATATTTTAAGGAAACGTATAGACAAAAATAAAAGGAAATAAAAACCCTTTCTTGGCTTGGGATTCCCATTTCTTTTTTAACAAAAATTTAAGAATTGCAGTAAAAGTGAAATCATACTGTGTTGGATATTTTAAAAGGCTCATATGAAATACACATGATACAAACCCAGTATTAATCTTATTATCGCACTGACTCTATTTTCAAGCTTCCCCAGTTACCATATGTTGCACTTCTGAGCTATCTGACCACCATTTAGCAATTTTTCCTACAGTACCAGTAACTTCCCAAGAAGAACAAATTAACATCAAGAAAGAGATAGACCATCAGGTGCCACTTTGGTCATTTTATAATTCTTATTGTGTTGTCACTCACATATAATTGAATAATAAATCTAATGAATATCACAAGGTCACTACATGCTATAATAAATGACTGACTCACTGTGCAATGATCAAACAGTGAATTGATGCTAATAACAGAGGCTTCATTTTCAAATATATAGGTGCATTTTTCCTACACCTCACTTACAGGAGATAATGATTATTTTTAATAAAAAATTATATTTAAAATACCTTTTCAATCTTCTCGAGAATAGCTGACATATCACCCCTCACTGAAAAAAAAAATTATAACAAGCCAAAACAAAAATGCAAAGTAGACTTACTGAAAGGGATCTGAGAGAAAGATGTTTTTACTTTTATTTTTATTAAATATAAACAGCTATATTTGAATAAGAAAGAAGACAGCTTTATGACAAAAAAGAATTTCGACATTAGTTTTACAATTTGAGTTAATAAGGTACTGGTTTTCTGGAGGGAGAGCATATTAATTAACAAGATTCACTTCTATATTCTGATGATTTCTGCTATCAAAATATGATGTTGCTACCACAGTTGACTTTCTATCATGTCCTAAATTCCTGCTCCTGGTCTCAGACCCTTTAATTATGCCTAACGTTTTGATTTTAATCTAACAAATTAGATTACTGTATCATCAATTTTGTGATAAAGGCATCTGGTAACTGAGCTGAAGTTTAGAAATTGTATAATGGATGCAGGTTTGCAAGGATTTCTAAGAACAAGAATTTGGGGACAACCAAGTGAAGGTTATCCATGGAACATAAAAGACATCAAAAGTTCATTTTCTGTGAGCTTGATCTAGGTCTCCTCAAACCTAAAACCAATCTTAGAAGCTGAGGGTCTCAAATGGTTAAAACTTGATGTACATTTTGACTTAATGTTTGGATGAAATGCATCACCCCTAAATTTCTGAGATAGACTCTTCAAGGCCAATATCTAACCAGGCTATTGGGAAACATCTCTTTGGGAACCAGGCAAGTAAGAGCAGATGTCCATGGGAGCATGTTCATGGGAGGGAGGCGGGGAGGCGGGGCCAGAAAAAAGAGGCTTGGCAGCTGGGAAGGGTGCTCCATGGGAGGGGCAAGGCAGCTGGAAGTTCATCTTTCTTTGAAGAAGTTCAGGGATTAGAAATTGGGAAGAGGAATGAAGGCTGCAGCAGCATTTACGCATCTTCAGCAATTCACTGCGGGCAAAGGATAAGTGTCTTCTCCACTCATTAATGGCTAAGCATATGGATGAAAAATGCCTAGTCGTGTTAAACAAGTTTGCTTGAGGTAAAAAGAAGAGAAGGAAAACTGAGTTGTTAAATCAAACTTTTCGCAGTTTTGGGCTAGATCTTTTTTTGGAGAGATATATATATATTTACCATCAGGCGGCAAGATCTCCATGCCAATATTACCCATGCAGGAATACCATCATACTCTGGATATATTTATAACTGAACGTGTATACGAGAAATTTTGTTTTAATGTGATGTTTGCCTGCAGGGTCACAGGAAAATTTCAAAGTACAATTCAGAAGAAATTTCGAGTTTGCTTTTTTAAAAAATATCTGTATTCTAGCATTACTGTCTGCAAACCAATACCATCTGAAGGGGAAACTACCATCTGAAGGGGAAACTAATGAACAATGCTGGTGGCTGATTCCATTTGATAAGGAATTATTAGCTGGGGACAAACAGGAGGAAATGAGAAATCATTTTCAAGTGGAACATCTGAAGATTAATGAGTGCAGATTCATAAACTCTGTGGCTCCAGAGGTATTATGCTCTGTTAGCAAATTACAAAAACAAAACAAAACACCAGAATGTTAACAATGAATTACTCCTAGCTTTTTACAGAATCTAGACTAACTGAATAATCTAGGCATGGAGGAGGGAGTGAACTCAGAACTCTTCCACGTAAAAATATAGGCATTTTTCTTACAATTATGGCATTTGAATGGAAATATCTAATACTTTTATTAATGCTTTACCTTCAATGATTCAATTTTGCAGACAGTGACGAATAAGATATATTTTGCTGTGAAGAGCTAAAGGGGATCTGGTTTCAGGACATTGGGCTAACATTTATTGCCAGGGAAGACGTTATTTACCAAATGGTACCCTTCTGTTTGGAAGTATACACTGAAGAGCATTTTACTGAAAGTGAGTGTTATGGATCATCATCATATCAAGTCTACTAATGAAGGAAGTACGCTGATTATTCCAGCAGCTGTTTTTTTTGTTTTTTTTTGACTCCTGATAATTTATCAAATATCTTGGACCTGTAACTATTCTCCTGGATCATGAACCCAATCCTACTACACCACAAAGCACCCTATAAAATACTGACATGTAAATAAATATTCTCTGTGGAGTATTCTAAGCTCTAGTTTTCTCTCAGCATGTATGAGAGAGAAAAGTTATTTTTCCTCATTATATCTGCTGTTCATCACAATAAGGAAAAAACTCACTGTAGAGGTAGTGAATGTATCCATCCATTCCTTCTGGTTTGCTCTCCCGGGGATTAATAAGACACATATGTAAGATATCTGACTGGGGTCAGGAGTGGCTATGAACTAGAGAAACTCAGTGGAATCAAACCCTTGACCTTGGCCTCATTAGCAACAGGATTAAACCAATTGAACTAACTGTATACAGACATTTCACACAATAACCTACAGCTGAGGAGACGATAGTCCAAGAGTGATAAAAATCATTATGATAATGGGTGTAAAGGAAAAAGCAAGGCCAGTAGATGTCCTTTTATATGCTTTCCACAGTGTATTATGTCATCACTTAGAGAAGCAAAGCATCCACTCTGTCCATCATAATTCAGGTAGGAGAAAAGACCCATGGTGTTGAGCAAGGAGCTCCTGTGTTTTTTTAACAAAATATTGGTATTTTCCAATAAGTTGTAAAAATGTAAGTTTTAAGCATTTACTTCCTTAAGTAAATTCACAACTGGAGAATATTATGATTACTAAAACACTGGTGTAGCCTCACTATATTGATTTTTAACTTCTTTTTTCATTTTTGGGAAAATAAGCAGACCATGAATATTTCTGAATTAAAGTTGCTAGAAAGTAGCTATCTTTCAGCTATATTTATTCTAAAGCCACTAGCGCTTTCTTAAAGCTATGACGATTTTAGGGACAGCAAAGGGATAATCATTTATATATTTATTTCTTTACGTATTGGGCAATGAAGATGTCTCTGGAATTATTTTCTGTCTCCCAACTCCTTTCAGCATTTGCCTTCTCTCAGCAAAATATATCCCTTAGGGTACCCTCCTCTTCATGTTTTTGATTTGCAGAAAGATGAGGCTATTAATGAGGATAGTTAAAATATGTTGACTTGTTTCCTATAAAAAAACTACAAAGTAGCTGTTTTCCACAATTTTGAACTTCAGAGAAAAGTAAACCATGTCATTAAATAGACTTAAGAAGGTAAAATTGTTACAAATCTGCTTTTTGAGCAATTTCTGAAAAATGCGTGTTCGCAAAATGAGTCTTCTAGAATTCTCAAGAGCCTTCTGGGTTGGGGGCAAGGGCTGAGGGGAGGATTACCATCTTATTCATCATACTTTAGGAAATGGTAACCTACAAGCCAAGGATCAGTCTGGCTAACAAATTGATTAACATAAGTAACACAAAGAGCGTGTTATTACAGCTCACTTTGGGGACAAGTATTTAGAGCAATGATGAGCATTTGACGGATGCAGAGAAGCCCCCTCCGCTTGCTGCTAAAGCCTGCTTAGCCCGTCCCTGGAAAGGACTGTTGCTGCTCCATCCACCACTGGAGTGGAGCTTTCATCTGGTTATCTTTCAAGGCAGCCTGGGTGGCCACCAAAAGCACTTGACATCTTGATGCACTTCAGCAGTTTTACATATACACAAACTTTGTAGAAAAATAAATTTGTCATTCGTCACCACATATGTTGTTCTGGGGAGTGAGGTGCTTGCAGTTCTGGCTCCTGAGCTGTTTGCTGTTCTCTCTCTTTCACTGGATATTGCTTTTTGTTGTTTGTTTTGGAAGCTAAAATAACTTCAGATACATGAAGACCCCCACAGATGACTCCCTAAACCCAGCTCAGTTACATTTATCTCAAGGAGATCAAGGTAGATGAAAATGCTAAGTGTTGATATCACTTTCAACTTACAGCGGTAAAGGCAAACCTTCAAGACTTGAAATTTGCAGCAAACCTTTATGGGACCTAATCTGTTATCACTTCTCGGCAGGCCATCTAGGCAACCGTGACCTATTCTACTTCGCTTTGGGGAATGTGATAAAGAGGAAAAAACAGCTGGTTTAAGAAAAGCCTTAGAAACATGGCAGTAGTTTAGAAAGACAATAATAATATTTTCACATTGAATGGGTGTAGATACATGTTATGGTACACCAAAGGGAGCAAGCAACCCTAGTCAAAATGTTTTCTTAAGTTATTAAGAGAGCTCTATAAAAAAAGACAAAAAAACTATACTTTTCTGGGTCAGAGAAAAAAGGGAAATGTGTATAGCAGTGAAAAAAATTCTCCAAGTGCATCCTATAGTTCTTAAAAAGCTTGTCTTTTCCTTCGATACTATTTAGTTTTATAAACTGTTAGCTTCAGTAGATTTATTTGTGTGTGACTTTGCCTAACTAAACAGAATCTGTCTCGTTAAATTCTCTTCTACCTCTATGTTGATTCTTCCAACTAAGGCAATAACAACCAGAGTTTACAAACTTTTGATGGTAAAATTAATCAATGCCCAAGCATCTATACATTTATTAGGGTCCAAAATATGATAGTGACCAGGTATATTTTCGACACTGTAGCATAAGAACGTCTATGTCTATCCTATCACCTTCTCCTGAGGCTCAGTTTTTCTCATCTATCAAATGGAGATGACCCTATTTTTTTTATTTTTTTTTTGGTGAGGAAGATTGTCCCTGAGCTAACGTCTGTGCCAATCTTCCTCTATTTTGTATGTGGGACGCCGCCACAACATGGCTTGATGGGTGGTGTGTAGGTCCACGCCTACGGTCCAAACCCATGAACCCCGGGCTGCTGAAGCGGAGCATGTGAACTTAACCACACCACCAGGCCAGCCCCCGATATGACCCCACTCTTTTCCTACCTACCTCACAGGGTTTTGGAGGAGCAAATTAGTCACTATATGTGAAAGTGCTTTGAAAGGTGTTACTTTTTTGGATTTCTAATCATACTTAAGGAAATATGTTAAAAGTCAGTGGACAGCCTGCACTTACATATCAGCTTGCAGAAAAGGAGGCTGTCTTGATATTGACGCAGATGGGTAAAGAAGACACCGACAAGAAATTTGTGCTGATAATCCAATGCGTGTAAAGATTACTAACTGTATTATCAGTTTAACAAGAGATGTAAAACATTTCAACAAAACAATATACCATTTGTAGACTGAAATGACAGTAATCCTTTTAGCAGCAATAAAAGGTCACACATTTGGAAAGGTTAATTATGAACTAAAAACAGGTATTTTGAAAGGCAAGATAAACTTTACACTCTCGTAAGCAAGCATTTAAGAACAAATATCTTGTAAGGATTTTCTGCAGGAGTTTATTTCATTGATCCATTTTTTACCTGGAATGTGGCCACGGCAAGTATAAAAGAATTCTTTGCAATAGTCTTTGCAGAGCAAGGGAAGTTCTAGATCTCTTTCCAAGGCTTCTCTCTCAGGTGAGTGGAACAGGCTCTGCGAGTGTGGAGAGCACAGCGCACACTTGATTTCTTCCAGTAACTTCCCGCATTCTGTGTTGTTGGTGACAGAAAATATCTGAAAGCCATAAATCAGAAACACACTTCTTTTTAGTTATGTGAAGTTAGGTTTAGTTATATTTTTTTGTAATCATGTAAGTATAAAAGTATAATTTAGCCAATTCAGTTGTCTGAAAAGAATTACCATATTACAATACAGAATACCTTTGTAAGGATACAGTCCAGTCTCTTGGGCTGGGATGGGAAAGCAAAGGTAAAGATGCACGAAAGTGCTTCTTACTCTTGCAAATCAAAGTCTGTTCACCTGTCTTTCAGGTGTGAAAAACTAAATGACAATTATACTTAGGCCCTTTAACCCTTTATCACTTTACTCAGCCTCAGCGTGTATACCGACTGATATCTAACTTTAAAACTCCGAAACACCTTTATCCAACTGTATGTAAAGCAGAATTTTTTAAGACATGGCTTATTTGTGCTTTAGGTGAAAATCTATTTCACTCCTGAAATTCCTAATATGATATTCTCAAAAATGTTACTTAAGTTACATTTTCCTAATTTCAATTAATTTTCAATCCATGTATTGCACAGGGAAAGTTTTCTGAAGTAGGAGAAATCTCTCTCTTTCATGTTCTATAAAAATAATATCTGAAGCTGAATAAAACAGGTTTAAGACCAATTTTTATTATTCATTTTATTAGAGCCAGGAAAAACCATCTAACTAGTTCCTCAGGTATGTTATATGCATGAATAAACACAAGAGTTTAATAAAAGTGCTTTTGTACAGTATCTAGTGAGTTTTAGTGAAAAAATGCATATTTTATCCTTATTTATACAGTATTATGTCTTTTATTTCAGTAAGACCAATTTGGGAATTATTGATTCATTGAGATTAGTAACTGGTAGATAAAATTAGGTCTCAGTGTCTAGTATTAACTTTAAAAAATTGACTTCAGGAGTTTCTCTAATAAATATATAAGATAATATCAGCACAATATTTGAGACATGAAATGTAGCACTGTCTAAATCAAGCATTGATTTTTCGTTTTAAAAAACACTATAATGGGGTTGAATTTTATACTTTTTCCTAGTTTATATAACTATATTTATACTGAATTATTTCTTTAGAACTATGAATTGAAATTAACATTTTAAACTCTAGATCATTGTTTAAAGCAAATATTTCATTCACAAGTTGAGGTTCTAATTTGAGTAAATTGTATGGCTTCTATTTTTTAGGATAAAGATAATCTAGGTGATCACAAAATTTGGATCTGCAAGAGCAAAGCAACCAAAAAAAATCATTAAATACAAAAAGCCTGCTGAACCTTCAGCATTGCAGTAATTGAAAGTCCCACAGAAGTTACCCCATTGTGGGGGGAAAAAAAATACATATGATGTGTTGTAACTATGTACGATATTCAGAAAAGTTATTACTAATCACAATTATATTTACATTTTGATTTTTATCAATTTATTTAAATAACAATTGCTTAAATGGTTAAAGTTTTCTAAAAGGAAACACACACCAGACACTTAGAATTTGCATTCCAAGAATGTTTTAAATGTCTTTTATTGTCCATACTCTGGCAGACCTCACCAGATCTATTCAATATTAATACTGTTCAACTTTGTTTATCATACAGCAGTCCACTAAGAACAAAACAACTGCACGATGCTGAAGCCACCTCCTTTGCTGGCTGAAAATCTGGAATGTAATTACCTCTGGTTTTATGGAGAATATGCACACTTCCATTTTTTATAGCTGAAACAAAATGATCCCCATATACTCTCCCAGCTGCTATCCAGGAAGAGCTTGATTTTAGTGCCTAAAGAATTTTGTCTTTTACAATTTTTGGAATGTGTCCTGGCCACAAGATCTCTCATCAAAAGTTTCAGAAATAGGATTCAATAAATTATCTGAAATCAAGTATAATATTATTCTTTGTAAAGTTTCATGCTGTTCTGGCCCAGCAGGATGGTAACATTTTGCTCTGTGTGAGGTCTGCAGTGTAAATACCTATTTGAAGATAGATAGAGCCATCATTCTGGCTTTGGTTTCAATGAACCAATAGTCTTACTGAAGTCAATTAAACTGACTCAGCCCAAGCTGCAACACTGTTTTAGACAGATGAGTACTGGTGTGTGTAGGATATTTTTTCTTCTTTTTTGCCTATGTGTCTGTGTCTATAGAGGTCTTTTACTTTACGTCTGACAATGTCATCAATCTTAAGAAGAAATTTAAGCTAATTTCCTGTTTCGATTTTTAAAAGCCATACATGAAACCATCAAATCATAGTGGTTTAAACTAAATATACTTTGGACATCATGTAAAACTTCGAAACATTATTACAGCATGCCTAGTAATGATTGTGGCTGTTGCTGACTAATTTATAACATCTGGCAGGTCATCCTTTAATCTTCAGCCACATGAAAGTAAAATCCATAGAAGAAAGGTACGATAAATACGGGAAGACACAGCGAAGCGTGCCCTACAACTATAGCTTATCAACAAATAGTAAAATGGGTGACAGAGACCTTCTGTATTTCTCTTTATTTATCAAGTAACTAAACAAAGAGGATAAAAAGGCACTCACATGGGTTGGATGAGCAGACAAAAGGAGAAAATACATGACAGCATATTAAGATGTCGCGTTAAGATGACTTGGTACACAAAAAGTTATTTCTAAAAATCATATGCCTACAAGGTTGTTCAGCTGTTGGGTGGAACACATGCGTCTCTGGACTATAGTGCTGGATTATGTCATTAAAGAGTTCAGTTTCAATTTTAGGCTAATATGTAAATAGATCATTGTACTAAGGCAGCTGTTAAAGGGACCCCAGGATGAGTTATTTGTTTAGTTGGATGTGTTCAACAATAGCCTTTGTCCCTGAAAGAGCCAGAGCAAACAAATGATTGTAAAAGGGCACACTTGAAAACAATTACTTTTCACCCATTCCTTGACAGCTTTGGCTGTGAAACCACCCAAGGTAGAGAGAGCTTCTATGCCTCTGTGGCTACAAGTCAAGTTTTAGAAATGGGGGTATTTCAGATGGTTGTGGATTCAATTTGGCTAATGGGAATTAGATTCTTTTAGCATGTTGTATTTAAGAGCTGCAAAAATATTGCTGAGACAATATAACTTCCTAAATTTTGGCAGTACTTATTTATAAGGGTAGTTAACCATCATGTTACAATAAACAAAATTATTAAAATATACAAAAAATTAAAATATAAAAGCATAATACCATGACTAAGGAATTGAAGTCAATGCTAGTTCATTAAAGAAAATGTGTTGGTCTAGAAACTGGATTTAATTGCACAGCTGTGCATGCTCAATATTCCTACCTAGTTTGCTACTATCTGTTTGTTTATGAAGTTTCTTCTCATAGGAAAAAGCTACTCCTATAGTTTCTGGAAAAGTTGCAGAAATCTTTCTGGGGAAAAAAAATTTTTCGTAAACAAAAAGGGCCCTTTCAAATAGCCATCATCTCTCCTGTACACACATTATGAAATAAGACCCTAACATATATTATAAGCCAGGAAGGCTTAGGGGAAAAAAGGGAAACACTGAAGTTTATTATAAAATAACATGTTTTAAAAACTATTAAAACCTGAGAACTAATATAGGTCAAGAATGCATCTGCGTAGCTATATCAAATCTCTGTTTTGAACAATTTGAGTATTGTTGGTTTATAAACCACTTGTAACGGAACCAGCAAAGTCTAGTGTACCAAATTTAAATCAGACACATTTTCCAAATGAGTAGGGGTTTGTTGAAGATTGGAAGCATGTAAAACGGAAAGGAATGTGGATAGCTAACGTAGCAGATTGCTTCCTAAAGAATGATTTCTTTAAAAAAATTTTTTATATAACTTCTCTTAAGGGTTCTAACTCCCCTCAGTTCCCCCCTCCCAGCTCCCCACTATATGCAGTTAAGAACAAAATTTTCATTCCTCATGTTCTTGTAAGTTCAGTACTGCAGGGGTCTGCAGATCATCGGTCTACTCACAGTGTACATTGTACACAGGGAGACTTCATGGCAAATATTTCCTATCCTTTCTCTGAATTTCTTGGTTCTTCTGGGCTCCTGGTAAAATCCTGCAGATGATGTGAATGTAGCTATTTTGAGATTTAATTCAATTACAACACAGGAGCTTAATGACATTGTTGTGAATAAAACGCTGAAATATCTGTTCCCTGAGTCTCAGACTCCTGCTGCATATGGTAAGAATAAAGAGAGAGTTGCAGCTGAAAACCTGTAGCAAGACAGTTCTCACTCATCTGGGAATAGAGGGAGTTGGACAAATGCTCCCTCAAAAGGCATGAACATTTGGACAGAGCTGGGGACTGAAAGAGAATGATGTTCTCTAGTTTCACCCATTAGTGAACCAACTAACAAACACAATGGTGTTGTTGTTATTCTTTTGCCATAAGCAACAGGACTCTGTGTGTGGGCAGCAGTTTAGTGGGGAGGAGGATAAGTCGACCCCTTTTTGTCCTATTGATTTTTTCCTATTTGCATGACTTGAGCAAATTAAATGATGCAATATGGCTTTTTGTTACAAAACAAAGTGAGAGATACCACCCAGACACATATGTTGATTCGTAGGAGCTGTTTACATGAGAATAGAGTGAAATCTACCGTGAACTGAGCATAAAAATTAGATTCAGCCTGGGTATTTTTTTTTTTTTTTTTTATGCCTGGGCCAGCAAGGCTGAAGCACAAGTTTTCCAAGTCTCTCAGACCTTGACAACTGCAGTGTTGTAACAGAGGAATTCTTAATTAAACCTAAAATGGGGAAGGGGAGGGGAAGCAAAGACACCTGATTGTTTATTTCACGTGCAGTGGTTGTTAATGACGTGATCCCACAGTCTTTCCTTGGAGTACAGTAGAGAGCACACATTACTGCATCCCATGGCGAGAAAGATCTTGCAAACTCAAAAATAAGTATGTCTTTTCACTCAACCAACAGTATTTTCATATTTGTTTAAACTTATTAACACAAGGAAAACGTAAATGCCATTACTCCTAAAACAAGTCTCTGGAGATCTTCCTAGACAACTATCATTGAAACTTGAATTTATAATGTTACAAAACATTACACACTGAGACGGAGAATCGTCTCAGTTTTACGTGATAAATACGCCCCAGCAAAATCTTTCCCCAGTTTTTCGGGATTTCAACTGGAGTACCAGTTCCTTTTCGCTGTTGAACTATTGCAAGGCAAGACAACCCCCTCCGACGGGGCTGGGGATCATAAACCAACCATGCTTCAACATCCTTTACGATTCAATCCTCTCCCTAACCGAGCACGTGGAGAAAACTGCACGAATCTTTTTACTCTAGAAAAATAAACCGGAAGCCACAGTCACCTTAATTTACAGTTTCACCGCAGCCAATGCCCAATTAGATCCAAAACACACCGTTAATCGTGATTCTTTTAAAATATTTACCCAGCCAAGAATTCGGGTACCGCAGAAGCTCCTCTTTTCTGAGACAGGCAGTTTTGCACAGCATCCCGACCGCGGACTCTTGGGGGCGGGAGAGGCATCTGCGCACCCCAGAGGAACACACAACGGAATCACGCTGGAGCTTTAGAAAAGTTATCAAAAAGAACTCCCCAAACAAGTTTTGCCCTTCTTACAGCCACCAGCATTGCCGGAGCCACGGGGAACCCCACCCAGCATGCCAATCTCGCAACTGCGAGGCGGGTGCGTGCCTACCTTGTTATCCAGGCGCCCTAGCCCCGGGCTGTCACTCCGCAAGCAGCAGGACAGCCGAGGGTAGAAGCCAGCGCACAGCATCTCTCCCCCACTCAGCAGCTCGAGCTGGGACATCATCCGCCTATCTCTCCTTTTCAGGCGCTTCGGGGGGTTCCCATTCAGGCACCTTCTCCTCCTCGCTCCGCTCCCCTCGCTTCTTTCCCCAAACTTAGCATCTCCTTCAAAGAAGCCCAGAGCCACAGCCAGCAGCAGCAGCTTAAAGGAGAGCATCTTCAGCATCGTCTGCCCCGAGCGGCAGGGGCTGGGCGCGGGAGGATGGGGGGGGAACGCCACTGCCCAGCAGGGGCACTAGGGCGCAGCTCCAGGAGCAGGCTGCGGGGCGGCAGGACGCTCGAGAGGCAGAGGGAGGTGGCGGGGGCGAAAATATGTAGAGCGATGCAACTTTGCAAAAAATAAAAGACGAGGCGATGGGTCCAACGCCTTAGGGGAGCCGGAGGAGCGAGATAAAGTTGTGTGGATGACACCGTCTGCAGTTGTGCCAGTGTCAAGTGGGTTAGGGGCTTTCTGCTGCGGCTGGCAAGTGGGAGGAGGAGAAGGAGTTGGAAGAGGAGGAGGAAGAAGAGGAGGAGAAGACGGCCACAGAGCTTCACTTGTCCATGTAACGGGAGTTGTTTAGGTGAGACAGTAGCAGGAACAGAAACGGCGGCGGCGGCGGCGGCGGGGCAGGCGGAGGCAGGGCCAGCGCTGGGCTCTAGATGATGCTGAGGTCTCCTCTGCCGGCGGCTGCAGCTTCTCACACAGCCTCTCATGTTTCGCTCCCTCTTTTCTTCTTCTTTTTAACTAGCGCGCGGGGAGGTGCT